GCACTGAGCTGAACGTGTGTCCGTGTGCTCTTCCCAAAGGGACAAAAGCCTTCAGCGGTGCCGAAGCACTGGGGGCACTCACCAGTTTGCTGGTCCTGTGAGCCCCAGGGACAGCCCTGTGAGCCCCAGTCCTGTGAGCCCCAGGGACGGCGCTGTGAGAGGCAGGCTGTGAGCCCCAGGGACAGCCCTGTGAGCCCCAGGGACAGCCCTGACCCCAGCCCTGTGAGCCCCAGGGACAGCCCCGGCCCCAGCCCCGTGTCCCTGCAGCCAGAGGGTGTCCAGGGCTGGGACAGGAGCCTTTGGGAAGTGGGAGGGAAGCAGAGCCAGGATCCGCCAGGAAACAGCGGCAAAACAGGGAGTGGGTTTGGAGGAACAGGGAATTCCTCATTGGAGCTGCTGCCTGAGGAAGGCAAACACTGGGACACCCCTCAGAACTGACACTGGCAGGGGCTGTCCTGGGAGCAGTGCAGTCCCCTTCCCTGGGGTTTGAACCCGTGTGGATGTGGCACTTGGGGACACAGAATCATGGAATCCTGGAATGCTTTGGGTTGGAAGGTACTGGAAATTCCATTGGTTCCAATGCCCTGCCACGGGCAGGGACACCTTCCACCAGCCCACATTGCTCCCAGCCCTGTCCAGCCTGGCCTTGGACACTTCCAGGGATCCAGGAGCAGCCACAGCTGCTCTGGGTTCTGGGCCAGGGCCTGCCCACCCTCACAGGGAGGGATTTCTTCCCAAAATCTCACACAAACTTCCCCTTTTCCAGTGGGAAGCCATTCCCCCGTGTCCTGTCCCTCCCTGCAGGCCCCCAGGATAGGCCTGGCTGGATTCCCCCCTTTTCCCAGGTGTCTGGGGGCACCCCCAGCTCCCCCCGTGTGCCCCCTCCTGTGCCAGCTGGGAGGGGCTGGAGCTGGATCCCTGGCATGGAGCTGGATCCCTGGCATGGAGCTGGATCCGTGGCAGAGCTGTCCCTGCATCCCCCACTGCAGTCCCACTGCAGCAGCTGCAGTTTCCATGGAAACCCTTGGCAGGCAGCCACATCCCAGCCCTGCATCCCTGACTGCACCATCCCACTCCTGACCTGCAGCTCCCCCTGCTCCAGACCCGGCCGTGTCCGTCTGTCCCAGCCTGGCACAGCCCCTCCTGGCACCACAGCCATCCGTGTCCAGGGAAGGGCAGGAGCTGGGAAGGGGCTGGAGCAGCAGG